CTGGTGAACACACTGCCAAGTCTTATTAGGGGACTACTGGTTTGTTATCACAGAAACGGAGGATAAATTCTCCATGTGGGTTCTGAATAAACTCTGCACCAGTGAGGTCACAGCTCGTTTAGTCAAAAGCTGTTTCCTAGTGATTACCGATTCTATTGGATTTTTCTCTTTTGTAAACCAATTAGTTAACTACCCATTAGCTCCTGATTCATTCCTGTTTGGTTTCCATGGTAACTACCTGTTAGTTCTTGATTAGTTCCTCTTCATTTACAAGGTAACTAACCAGTAGTCTTCTAATAAGGCTTGGGTGTGTGTTCCCCAGTAAATACTGGTTAACTACCCATTAGCTCCTGATTGGTTCCTGAGGCGTTCCCTGGCAGTTAATACAATTTTGTGTACCTTATTGTAAAGTGTTATTTTCTCAAACCTCGACAGCGAGCCTTATAATCTGGTGCGCCTTATGTATTAATTCTTGTTGGGCTAATGACCTCGAAAAGATTTTATGTGGTACACGGCGCTCACACGTCTGTCAAAATCAACTTGTTTTGCTTAATGCGCCTTATATTCCGAAAAATACGTTACACATATCGCATTTAAAAACAACAGTGTTGACCAAAGTGCTTCACAAACATGAAGATCGGTAACACATGAAGTCCAAAACGAAACTATCCGTTGTCTGGTGTGAGTCAGGACTCAACTAAATGTCTTCAGACAGCAGCACGAGCAAATCACCGTTTTCAGTTTTCAACGTCTACAGTAATTTGTCATTAATTTATTGAGTTTAGATTCTTTGCTGCGACAAAAAAAAAAAGGCAGAAAAACAAATTGAGAAATTTTAGGAAACACTATTTGGATATTAAAACAGCTCATTGATCTCCTGCTCCAGCTTCTCCTGAAGCTGAATAAGTTTCGTCACGAACAGAAACCCACATCTGCAGAGAACCCTGATAAACCCACATCTGCAGAGAACCCTGATAATGACTGAAGTTGTTCCTTCTTTCTGTGTGTGGTTTTTGCAGTAGTGACTTGTGACCAGCTGAGGTCTCCATCCACTGCTAAATAAATCTCTGAAGTCATCCTCAGCTCTGCTGCAGGCAGCTAGGAACAAGATGGAAATTTCCACTGCAACCGCTCTGGAGCAAAGGCCATGGAGAAGTTTGAGAAGCATGAAATGTTAACAGAACTTGTTGTTTTGGATTTGACAGGAACAAAAAGAGGAAGTGTAATTTGAAAATACTCTGTAAACCAAAAACTGTTTAAATTATTGCAATATTTAAATTCTAGCATTTATTTTTATTTATTTATAAGTTTATTCATTTTTTAAAAAACAAAACAATTCAATATACAATAAGAAATACAATCACAAATAAAACGAAAGGCAGCAGAAAGACGAACACAATCTTATAATCTGCCCCTTTTTACCAAATAATTAGTTCAAACAATGATAATCTTCAAATAACAAAATAAATAACTCCTTCTCGAGCGTCAATTCATACAACACACATTAAGCTATTTTTTTAATTTTTATTTACAAACCAACTTTGATCATTCTCTTAAACATTGATCTGGCATTTGTCACATCACTCTCCAGATTATTCCATAATCTAATTCCCTGGATTGAGGTAGACCGTTTCTTCAGACTAGTTCAAAATTTAGGTTTCACAAACACTTCCATCCCCTTAAGATTATAACAACTCTTTTAACAAAATTTAATTGGATATTTAAAGGTAATGTATTATTATGAGGCCCTATATATATAATTGATAAAATGTTATAATCTACCAAATCATGAACTTCAATAACTTCAGTTGATAAAATAATCCACTTGATGGGTGACTGAAATGCTTCCTGGTAATAATTCTTACAGCTCTTTTCTGTAAAACAAAAATAGGATTTATAATTGTTTTGCACGCTTTCCCCCAAACATCAATACAATAAATTAAATAAATTACTCTAACAACATAAATCAGATGTGTATTAATTTTTACTTTTGTTGACTTCAGATAAAATAGTGCACAAAATCTAAACTATGACAATTTCACACAAAGGCTGAAAGTATTTGATTTACTTTGGAAGAGCAGAATATTAACATTGATTTTTCTGTTTGCGTCCTTCTTGAACTGTAGTTGTAAACGTTCTCAGTATGTGTGTTACAGAATAGGTCAGAATTATACTTTTGATTGTTTTATTCAATAAATTGCTCGCAGATGAACGTATAATGTTTATAAAAGCATGAAACACACAAACGAAGTGTTGCGTTCTGTAAGTCCTACCTTTCAGGGTCGATGACATATTGCCTGTTGTTGCTATGGAAACCACTCTAACACTGTTAAGCGCTCACACAATTGAGATCCACTTTTTATTTAATTATTTTTTTCAAATATCTTTTGTGCATTTATTGGCATCAGTCGCTTCCAGCAGTTTTTAAGCTATTTCAGCCATTTAGGTATCAAAACGTTCGGCTTATCCAGGACACTCCGGCTATGAATTTTGATATTACAGTATATTTTAAACTTTTTGAAATATTCAAAAGAAAAAATTCTCCCAAAATTTTCTCATTGAAATACAGAAAGATTCTGTGAAATCCGTCAACATCTTACAGCTTTTTGAACCGTCACTACTTGAGCATACTTCCACCTAGAACGTCCATTCAGCTTTTGAACAGTTCATAAGACATTCAGCTGTCGCCACATGATTCAGCTGTTTGATGTCTTGAACTGGTGTCTGTCTGTAGAGCATCCTCATCCCTTTAGTTGGCAGCTCAGAACACCACATACAGAACACCATGGACTTTGTGGACAAGGTGAGGGATGTCATCATGGAGACTGATGAAACTATGGTCTCTTTTGATGTCACATCACTCTTTACTTCCTGTTGATGATGCAGTAGAGGTGGTCAGTTTAAGATTAAAATCAGACACCACTCTGAGCAGCAGGACCACGCTTTCCACAGAACAACTGTGTCAACTCTTGAAACTGTGCCTGCAGTCAACCTACTTCACATATGGGGAGCAATATTATAGGCAGAAACATGGGTGTGCTATGGGGTCTCCAGTTTCTCCTATTGTTGCCAACCTGTACATGGAGGAGGTAGAAAAGAGAGCCTTGACGTCCTTTTCAGGGACACCACCAAGTCATTGGTTCAGGTATGTTGACGACACCTGGGTTAAAATTAAATCTCAGGAAGTCCAACATTTTACTGACCACATCAACTCTGTGGATAAATACATCAAGTTCACACGAGAAGATGTAAAAAATGGCAGGTTGGCTTTCTTGGACTGTGAGGTCTCAGTCTCTGATAGAGGACATTTGCAAACTGAGGTGTACCACAAACCCACCCACACAGACCAGTATTTGCAGTTTGACTCCCATCACCCTTTGGAGCACAAGTTAGGAGTCATCAGGAATCTGTACCACAGAGCAGACAGCGTCCCCACTAACTCATATTTCTAATTTTTAGCTATTATTTCAATCAAACTAGCTTTTTAAGCAGGTTTCAGCAAAATAATTCAGCATTCACACTGCATTTTTGCAGGAAATGCATTTACTCTGTTTTTCAGTTACATTTGCTTCCAAAAAGTGATTTTATGGCTCTTGAATATTAAGTTAATTTGAAAAACACACATTGAAAAACTTATTTTTTATTTCCGTTCACTTCAGCTTGTTTACTAATCTTTATAAAGTGCATTTGCAAAGTGTGATTGGTCTCAGATAAATTTATACTGTTTTTAAAGATTTTTTTTTTTCCATTTTTGAGGCTCCAGCAGCCTATTTTTGTGTGGGGGGTGGGGGGACATTGCGGGGGGTCGTTGGGGCTCGTGCCCATGACCGCCGCTATGGGGACTGGCCTTGAGCAAGGGCTGCGCTCTTAACCCCTGCACCACAGCAGCGGCACAAGATTTTTGAAAAAAAAAATCCAGACAGAAAGCAAACAAAAATGTTTTTTTATACACTCTGGGTTTTAAACAGTTCTGCCTGGACATTACATTGTCTCTGACCTTTGAAGATTTCACAACAAATCTAAGAACACACTCCCCTTTTTACAAATATTTAATACATCTTGTAAAGAAATACAACTCTTTTTGTTAAAAATTTTAAATGCTGGTGTGAATTATCCAAATAGTTTGCAACGTTATAGAAATAAAATTATTTCAGTCATATTTCTAAGATGACAAAAATCCAATGTCGTCCATGCCCTGATGTAATTTAAATAGATAAACTAAAAAAAAAAAAAAAACACACTACTTTTTAAATGTAGGAGCACATAGACCTAAATATACCGTATTTGACAAAGCAGTTAAATGGGATGTTCTATCATCTAAAAATAGACTCCAAATCCAACAGATTTCATGAAAACCTCAAATGGGCTCAGAGCGGAGCCTTGAGGAACTCCACATGCGAGTACTGCTGCGGCTGAAGCTCACCGTGGACTGAGACACTTCTGTCCATCAACTATGATTTAAACTTCAGTAGAATGATTACTGAATTAATGTTGCCATATAGCTCAGGGCACCAAAAAGGCAGAATTTTTCAAATCAACAAAGGAAAGTTGTTAAAACTTCTTACAGAAATTTTAACATCTATGAGATTTAAAATCAGACCAAACGCAATTTATGAAATAGTTTCAGAGTTTTAGGAAAAACAGATACAAAACATTTTTGGGCCAAAACTAAAGGAAGTGATAAACCCACTGTTGAGTTTTTGGTTTGCCTCTATAATATTAGGAATATGATTAATAGTAGTTTTATTTTAAAGTACTTTATATATTGATGGATACTATGCCATATGCTACGATGCCATAGATACGTTGTATATTGTACAAATTAACTTTTGTTGCGTTAAGATACAAAAATGTAGCTAGTGAGCAATAAATCAATCTTTGATATATTAAAAATTTTATTAAACAAAAACAAATTTACAATTTGAACAAGAAAACAGAGAAGAAAGTGATTTTAAGCAACAAAAAAAAGGCTAATTACCAAAACAATAAAATAACACTGAGATGTTTGGTAATAAAGAAAACTTGAATTTTATTCTACAGTTCTGAAGAACCGGGTTTCTCTGAAAGTCTGCACCATGACACTTTGTTTGGCTGATAAATATTGCAAACTGCAGAAGTTGTTGTTGAACTGACAGCAAATAAAACTAACTGTTAAAATGTCTCTGCAGCCGAAGTCACATTTTCAAGTGATCATTACAAAACAAAACGTTAATAAAGTCAAATCACTGGAACAAACTCAACTACATCGTCGGGAAGGGAGAAAGAAAGCAAGTTTGAAATATTAAATGAAATCTGAACAAGAGAATTTAAAAGTTTCTTTACAAACACAGCGTTAAGAAACAGGCATCACCCTTTAAACAGAGTATTTTAACATCAGACCAGAACCTAATACAGTTCCTTATTTGGAGTTTCTAGACGGGTTAAATAAAAATAAACAACAGTAAAAGTTGGGCAGAGAAAATAATTTAAGGTTGTTCAATATAGAATACTTATTTATTTGCGACTACTTTAATTTATACTTGAGTATTTTATCCAAGTATAAATACTCTATTTATACTTGTGTTACAAAATATTTATTAAGTTTATGAATTAATCATATTCTCCCGACATGTATGTCCGTTCTGTGCTTTGACTAAAGAGCAGATGTAAATGTAAAATAAATTCCCTTCAGTAAAAATTATTATTATTATTTTTAATAAAGCGATGCCCTTTACATTGGCCTGAAACTTTCAGGTAAAAAAAAAAAAAAAAAAAAAAAAGTTTTTTTTTTCTTAAATTTATTAATTTTTTTAACAAGTTTTAGAAAATATTTTCATTTTAACCCCAACAAAGCCTCATAGACCAAATGAAAACAGTAACGTTTGCAACATCGTTTCACTAAAAAATGCTTGATGATGCTTTTTTTTTTTTTTTAAATAATTGTGCTTTCAGATAACAAAATGCAACAACTAAAAAAAACAGAAGCGTAAACGACACACGACACGACGAGTTCAATACACTTGGAGTTGCAGCTGGTGATGGATCTGTGAGGCCTTCTGTGCACCTCGTCTGACCGGGGTGAAAACTCGCCGACAGCTTTTATCACAACCTCTGTGCCCGAGCGTCACGCTTCCAGGAAGCACCCGTGTCTTCCTCTTCCTGTTCCTCCTCTGCTTCGACTGGTTGTCATTGGCCGGCCTCGCTCCGTGCACGACCGCGCCGTGTTCACAACACTTCACATGCAAAGAGCGCAGAATAAGAACAAGAAAAACTGGCAAGCTGAAGCTGTCTGAACTCTCCAGGACTCTTCTGCGTTTGGCGTAAATCAGGCCTGAGTGAGCAAAGAGACGACGACGTTTGAAGCAGTTTTTGCTCTGGAGTCTATTTTTTTAAACGCTGTAGCAGTCTATAACCTGTCTTTAGTCTGTGGCCACAAACATCCGCTGCTACTCAGGTTTGTGGCAGTAGATGTCCTTCAGCGCTTTCAGCTCTTCAATCAGCGTTTTGTTTTGGTTTTCCAACACGGCGACGCGGTTCTCCAGACATTTGACGTACTCCTTCTTTTTCCTGCGACACTCGCGCGCCGCCTCCCTGCAGGGGGGAGAGAGGAGAAACGGGTTTGAGTCTCTCCAAGAAAGTTCAGCTCAGATTCTGCAAAAACTCACAGTGCAACTACAGGTTTAGCGACAGTTTCAATAAACCCCTTCACCGGTCTGGTCTAAGAACGGACTTCCAAAAACAGTGAGCTGCAGCTGTCCATGCAAAGATATCGGAGGGAATGCTGTTAATTATTCACACTGTTGACTCCTGTTTATATTTACTTTTTCAAATGTCTTCCCATATTTATTGGCATCAATCGCTGCCCAAAGTTTTTAAGCTTTTTTGGTAATTTAAGTATCAAAACATTCAGCTTATTCAGGAAATTCCTGCTACGACTTTTGATCTTGATATCTTTTAAACTTTTTAAAATATTCAGCTTTTTTTTTTATTACAAATGTTTCCTCACTGAACATATTACCGTTTTTTAAAAACCCTTAATTACTTCATCATACTTCCACCTAGAAAGTCCACACAACTTTTAAACAGTTCATACGACATTCAGCTATCAGCAAACCATTCGGCTTTTTGATATCTTGAACCGTTCGTGTAAAATCGGAGTTTAAGTTTGTCTCCTGTCCTGCTGCGTTTCCATAGCAACAGATTGTTAACTCTGAGCAGCTGAGAGAGAAATATAAATGTTCAGCTGATGTTTGTGACTGTGTGCGTTTATAACTCGTGTTCAGCAGCTTCTGTTTAGCTTTTGTAAGCTTGTTCAGCTGTTCCTGAACAGAGACAATCAGCCGTCCTGCTCGTCTCCGTTCAACAATGGGTTTGATTTACAGCTGTTTTTCAACTTCATTCTGCTAATTTCAGCTTTTGATTCTCCCTTCAGCTTATTTCTGTTATTTTCAGCTTTTTTTTTCTTGCCTTTCAGCTACTGTTCAGCTGTTTTTCTGCTCATTTGAGCTTTTATCAACCATGTGCCCTTTATGCAAACGAGCTCTTTAAGCCTCTGTCCGCTCATTTCAGCATTTTGTTCTGTTTTTCAGCTACGTCTGTGCTAATTTTAGCTATTCTGGTTAATTTTAGCTTATTTCTACAAGCTTTAGATTTTTGTTTCAATTTTTGTTTCATCTAAATTTCCACTAATGTCAGTTTTTGTTATCTATTGTGTTATTTCAGCTTCAAATCATTAATTTTTAGAAAAGTGAGGCTAAAATTTGATGTGGTAGTAGCCGAGACTGATCCTCAACACTTCCTGAAGGCTAAATTAAAAACTCAATATGGCCGCCAAAGATAACCCACACTGTCCAGCAGTCTGTGGACATTTTTTGAGAGGGGGGGTCCAAGCTTCAACTTTGCAACCAATGTAACGTATAAATGTCAAACGTGACAACTGGAGACCTCATGGGTCAGCAATGATGCTGATTGATTTTAGGGTCATGGGGTCAAAGGTCACAGTCAAAGGCCACTCCTTTCTTTATATTGCTATAGTTTGATAACTATTTCTCAGCTGGACAACTCGCTTGTCAAAAATATTTTAAATTAATTTCATAGTCTCAGGGTCAAGGTTAAGGTAATAATTCAAGGTCAGAAGTCAGCCATTACTTTAAAATCTCTAATTTGATAACTGTTAAACAAAGAAATGTCAGACTTCACAGTTGGACACCATGACAACAATGCTCTCTATTGATTAAATAGTTAAATTTAACTGTGTTAAACTAGATAAACTTATCCCAGTTTCGCAACTTTTCGCTCTAAGCTAGCTTTTTATAATTATTGCTAGTATTTCACTACTTCTGGCCCTTATTTACCTGCTTTTGCTAGCATTTAGCTTCTAAGCTAGCCTCACGTTATAGCATTTTCCTACTTCTGACTCTTAGCTAGCATTTTGCTGCTTCTAAACTAGATCTTTCTTGCATTTTTTTGTTAGCATTTTACAATTTATGGATTCATGCTAGCCTTTTCTTTATTTATTGATAGCATTTTGGTACTTCTGGTTCTAAGCATCAAAGTTCATGCTCAATAATCCAGGTAGAAAATCCAACAGAGGTCAGTCAGGTCATCTGGACAGTTTCTTTTTTGGATTTACTACCTGGATTACTGAGCATGAACTTCGGTGTTTTGAACCACTTTGGCTGTGGCTGTCTCAGAGGAGTCGACGGGGGAGAGGGCGGTCCCCAGAAACCATCTTATCACCAGCAAACTGGTTGATCCACTATGTGACTTTGTTGCTTGTGGGACTCAGTTTGTTGTGGCTCCTCGGACTGAAGAAGTCCTTTGGATGAAGGATGAAACGTCTAACAAAATAACGAAACCATCCAGAGGACCTGACTAAACTTTGAACTGAATGTTCTGGTTCTAAGCTTTTTTCTTGTTATTTGATAATATTTCCCATCTTCTGTTTGGTTTGTTTTTTACTAGCCTTTTTTCTACCTGTGCCTTTATCCACTCTACTTTTAGCTTCTTTTTTTTTTGTAATAACTGCTTTTCTGCACGTGAGCTTTTGTTTTTAACCTAATTTCAACCTTTTTCTGCATTTTCAGGTACATTTTTTTACCGTTTGTGCTTCTTGCAGCTTCACCTTTCAAATTTTTAGCTATTGATATATTTTAAGTAAACTAACTTTTTAAGCAGCTTTGAGCAAAATCAGCATTCACATGGCACTTTCACAGAAAATGCAGTTTCTCTAGTTCAGTTCTTAATTTAGCTCCGCCCGTTCATGTTCTAGCAGAACGAAGCAGATTTATCAAACTACTGAGGTTAGGAGACCTGGTGAGCCTTTTCCTGCAGCCCCTACCTGTTTTTCATCAGCCTGACCTCCCTCTTGCGGGTGATCTCTTCGGCATGCTGTGACGACGGGCTCTGCATGCTGCTCGGCGATGCAGCCATCACGATGCTCTGAGCAAGACCCGAGTTGGGCGAACGCAGCTGGTAGGCGGGGATGTCTCCTGTGGCAGCTGTGGGAGAACATGGACAAAAGGCGTTACTACCACGTGTGTTTATTTACCTCCAGAAACAGCTGAAACAACTGAAAATAGTTCCAACAGAAGTTTGGAAAAAGCCACGTGTTCACATTCCTTTATAGCGCTTCACCACCTTGCAGGACGCATGAGATCTGTCTTTTTCTTTTCACGTTTAGCAGCAGATTCACTCATATTTTCATCCAAACATCTTCTGTGCATGTTTGGTTCCGCCGCATCTGTTTACCCACACAGACCACAGCCAGCCTAAGCTGTGAGCTCTTTGTTTACATTCATTGCGTACCCACAGTTCAGAACTACACTCGTTATATCTGGAAAATTACTTCAGGAAACGTGACATGGTTCAACATCAACTTTTTTTTTGTTTTATCTGAAATCAGTTTTCCTTCCTGCAATCAGAGGACACATTTCCTCCGATCATAAAATTCCTAGCCAGTTATTCGTTCTCCTAAATGTACTTGATAACAAATTAGACTTTTAAATGAGTACTTAGCTAAAAGTCTCAATTATTTTCTAGGACATCTACCCAATATGTTCCCAAAATCTAAAACTTGTCTTATTGGTGGGAATGTTTAAGCAGAACATCACCTGCTAGGTGTATTTTCATAAGTTTATTCATTTTCTGGTCATAAATGACTTCATTAGTGACTTATGCTCAATGATTCAGCAGCTGTTACCATGGGAACCAACGTCACAGTTCTGGTCTGTAAAAGAGGAGCTCACAACAGCGACAAGGTTAGGGTTTCTGCTTGGTTTTATTGCATCCTTCGATCACTTATGATGATTTTATATTCTGCACAAAGCTTTGAATCCCCTTGTAGTTCATTCAAATGTTAAAGTTTATCAGCTCAGCTGTCCTGAGTCTAAAGACGCGTCTGTTTATGGGAGGCGACGCTGTTTTTAATCAAACTGCTGTGAGTTTCTGATAACTGTTGCAGTTTTCCAAAGACAGCAAAAACAGGCTGTAAAAAACAAAACGCTTTTAAAGAAAAGAAGAAAAAAAAACATCTCTCTGAATGTGGTTTATGTACTTTTGGATTTGAGTCATGGCTGAGATGACTCAACAACTCGCCGCTCTGCACACTGTGTGTGTTTCAGCTTCTCTTTTTACACTTTGTTCCTAGGAAGTTTCAGTCCTTCCTACAAACGCACACGCACGCACGCACGCACGCACGCACGCACGCACGCACGCACGCAGCTTTCCATTCTTGTGATAACACGGTGACTCGGGCTGTGCTGACGTCAGTGTGTGCGTCTCTCTTGCACATTTTGCATTCTCTCTTCCCTGCCTTGCTCATGTTCCAGGAAACTCAGTGACGTCAAACCAGCAACTATCTTACCCACATCCCCCACCTCTCTCCTACCCCCTCATTTACTCCCTCCCCTTTCCCTCCCTCCCTGTCTGCCTGCCTAACAACCACTTTATTGGCTTGTGAGCTTTTATCAGTGTTCGACAGCACGGCACAGACTGACAGCAGCTCAGAATAACTGGGCTGTTTTTATTATTTTATACAATGGTAAATTAAATATATATATATGTTTTTACAAAGTTCCACGATGCATGACGTAACAGAAGTGAAGTCTAATCATGAACAGTTCTCAGCATCTTCATGCTGTTGCTCTTACAGGTGGATAGAATTACTGAACTATTGAAGAAAACATCAAAACGCTGACAGGTGGAATTAATAAATACTTCAAATCCATAATGATAATTTTAAAACAGACTAAATATTAAATAGAGAAACTCTACCTGACTCAGTCTCATCTCCAGTGACAGCCATCTCGTGTTTCCAACAATCCAGCACCACGGCAGAGAAAAACACACCTCGCCACAGAAAACTTTTGACTAACGAGCTCTTCTACCTTTTATTTTCTCGTTTATTGCTGTTTGAATCTTCCCTTTTCTTCCTCTTGGCCCTCAGCTCGCTCTGGTTCAGAGTGGCAACTCGTCAACTTTGCAGCCCAAATACAATTACAGGCATTGACATCACAGTGACATCACCCGCTGAAGTCAGTGAAACACCCTGGATTAGAGTCCGTCCCTCCCCCGTCCTCCTCCCTCACTGCGGATCAGAAGAGAAACAATGTGAGCTGGTCAGGCAGGGAGGGAGGGAGGGAGGACGTCTAGGGGGGAGTTACAGGGAGGAGGGCGGGAGCGGAGGAGGAATATTTTTAGCTCCAGTGACGCAACTCAAGAGACGCTCAACAAACAAGAGGATATTGTGTCCCAAGCGGCTGCCATGCTAACTGCTGAGCTCCACGACTGATGTTTGTTTTGTGCTTCAAAGAAGCAAAAAAAAAAAAGTTTGACGTAATGTGTTTTCAGTTAATATTCACATTTCTCACAGCTGAATTTAACAAAATAAGAGTCTGATAAAAAGAACATGTTTTAGTTGGTCCTTGGTGGGAAAATGTACAAATGTAGCAAATGAGTTTCAAAGTTATGAACTTGGCCCAAAAAGTAAAGTTGATTATTTCTTGGTTGTAAAATTGCTTATTCACAATAAATCTAACACTTCTGGAAAGCCTCTCCCCCCCCCCCCCATATGGTGCCACACTGGTTAGGAAAAATACACGTGTGGGTTGAGAAGCAGAGTTGAGCCTGTGAAAAACAAATCTTCATTTAGAGTCTCCACAGAAGGAGAATTCTCCGTTGCATCAAACTAAAGTCCTGTACGCACGGGATTAGTTTTACCTAGAGACCACATGTAATAAATAAATTACTCCCCAACGTCTGCTTTTTATGTGGCACATTCACACGGGATAACCAAAGCCTGAGATTTAGCTAATTTACGGACATCTTCTGGATATGCCAACTTAAAGCTGTCATTCTAACACGAACCCAGAGCCTGACCCAGACCGACCTGGATCTGGAACGGTCCATAATAATGTGCTTAATGAGTGAGCCGGGCCAGTCTCGGTTTTTCGTGCAGTTTTATGAGTCATACAGCACAAAGAAAACTAAATAAGAATGCAGACATAACATTGTGTTAATCTACTTGTTGAGGAGGAGGCAGGTTCGACTGGCTGGTTTAAAGAGGTAAAAAAATAAAAGCCACGTTAAGTTCAGATGGACAACCTGTCACCGGCCACACGCGTCCGTTGAATCGCCGGTTGAACTTGCAACCTGTCCATGGCGTCCCCCGCCTTTCAAACAGTGATGGCTGGACATGGGCACCAGCGACCCCCGCAACCCAAAAAGGAAGAAACGGGTAAATATAATGGATGGATGGATCAGCTGATCACCGGCTGCGCACGTCTCCGCACCTGCTGTCATCTATGGTGAAGGAAGAAGCAGCATCTACAAAAGCTGAAGCGAGCAGCACGTTCATTTAAAATAACCTTGTTCTATATCCCAGGACATCCTTGTAAAAGAGACTGATAATCTCAATGGATTTCTTCCTGGTAAAATAAAGGTATTAAAAAAAAAAAATAATTCCAAATGATTTTGCTTAAACAAAAACAAAAAACAACTCATTACACATCGGATCCCGCCCATTTCTGTCCAAATCACAGAGATGCCTACTGGCATTGGATTAGTATTATCACAGGACCTCGGAGTTCAGCCGAATATAGTAGGCAATTTGCAGAAGAATTTTTACTTTACAAATTACTGACATCGCCGATTTGCACGGGATTAACAATCCAGACAGTCTCCGTAATTATTACAAATAGCATGCGGTCCCTAGGTAAAACTAATCCCGTGCGAGTAGGGCTTAAGAATGCATTTTGATGGTGAGAGGACACTCATGTCAGAGAAAGAAAGTGAACTTCAGACACAAGAGTTTCAGTGAAGTCCCTTATATATCAGTTATCTTTGTTTATGCCGACGATCTGCTGGTTTCAGGATAAACTGTAGACGAGAACAGGATTGTAAGGGTGTGTTTTCATCAACAAGTGCCTATCTTTATCACTGATTTTAACTGTGCATTATCAGATTAAGTGTGTTTACACAGATTATTATCTTGGCTGCAGTTTGCAGACAGGCGGTTTATTCTGTGTGGTGAACTTTGGTGTCCCCCGCCCCTCGCACACTGATAGCTGGACATGGGCACCAATGACCCCCGCGACCCGCAGAGGAAGACGCGGGTAAAAGATATGGATGGATGGACAGATGTATGTTTACTGTTTGGAATCTTTAAGGTTTAGTCAAGTTCCAGAAACTCACAAACAAAAAACAAAAAGGTTTCAGCGCATCTTAATTTGAAGGTTTTCTATGCAGATGTAGATAGAGTGCAGGATTTCATCAACTCATTTAAATGTTCATCAGTAATTCAGGTAATAAATCCAACAAAGTTAAGTCAGGTCCTCTGGACGGTTTCTTTGTGTTGAGACGTTTCGTCTTTCATCCAAAGGACTTCTTCAGTCTGAGGAGCCACAACAAACTCAGGCTTTTAAGCAGCACACTCACAGTGGGCCGACCAGTTTGATGGTGCTGAACTGGTTTCTGGAGTCCACCCTTTATAAGATTATACTTATTTAAATGTTGCTTTCCTTTCAATTAAGGATATTAGAGACAGATGGTTCAGGAGACAGTTTTGACCCTCGGGCCACAAACATATTTTCCTGTTCATCTTTGGCTCCACTCACCTTGGATGAGCACCTGCCCTCCTTGGATGTAGAACTGGTGTGGGCTTTCTGCAGCCTGAAGGACGGCTGCTCCGGGCTGGGGGGTGGGAGAGCTGGTCACGGTCAGGGTCTGAGCCCCTTGAAGGGCTTCCACTGCTGAACTGGTCAGAGGGATGGCTCTCCCCTGAGCGAGCGCGACTGAATGAAGACAGAGATTATACTGTGAATGGGGCTAAATGAAACAAAGTATAAAAAAATACAGGTAGTTTGGGTTTTTTGAGCCTTAGAAGGTCAAAGTAAACATTTGTCCAGATCATTTATTAATTATTATTATTATTATTGTTATTATTATTTTTACACAACTATAGTAAATTTGTCTCTACTTCTATAGTTTGAATATTGATTCATATTCACATTATTATTTTACCTTTTTATTGTTCCATACATTCTAATGGAATCCACACAATCTTACTACTGCAAGCTTTGTGCTATTTTAATGTTCATACATCAAGACATTCAACTCCTGGATTATAATTCTGTGTGGACTGACTGTATACAGATTACAGATTTTTTTTGTGTTGACAGACAGTATACAGATTATAGATTATACTTCTGTGTGGACTGACTGTATACAGATTATAGATTATTTTTTTCAGTGTGGACTGACTGTATACAGATGACATATTATACTTCTGTGTGGACT